TTGTACAGGAAGCTGAAAATAAAGTGAAGAGTTTGGAAATAGAAGTCAGAAGATTGGAGAATGATTTAGATGAAAGAACTGTGCAGCTGGAGGCTTCAACTTCTGCTTGTGCGATGGTACTGTGTGATTATGTTTAACTCAGTTGATTTTATCTAATTTTGTTTTTTAGTCTTTGGATTGCTGTTTAGATCCACTTTCAAACACACTGGGCGATTATTGGCGTTTTTTCTGGTGCTTGATTTTTGTTCTTTTATTTGGCTTTTCTTGTTTGTTCTATGTGTGGGATTTAGTAATATTTTTCAAACTTGTGGTAACATGTTGATTGCCTCTTATTAGAAAAGTACTGATTTGAATGGTTCTAGGAACTTGTCTCATTTATAATCAGCATGTGCCTGGCCAAAAAGAGGAATCTTAATTATTTTTATTGTTTGATTGCTTTTTCATCTCCAATTAATGCCTTCCTCTGTACTTGTCCCTGTTTACATTTGTGGTCTTTCCCTATTCAAATTTTGAAAACATGCACCTTCCCTCCTACTATCATTAACAGCAGCCATACTTATTCAATAGACATGTATATTTTTAGAATTGAAATGTCATATACTTATTATAAACAACATAAATGTAAGTATGACATTTCGTAACATAAATGTATCTTAGTTAAATAAGTATAATGTCGACTCGCCTAGCGATTTTGTTGTCTTACAAAACTTGTGTTACCCACCCATTGTTAATTTATTTTTCTTCTTTTTTTATTTTAAATAAAAAGAGGTATAATTGATGCATTTGCACTTCAAGATCTCTTGTTAGTTATTCACGAGTGAGGAATCAATCCCCTTAATTAAGGGGAGAATAAAATGTATGATCAAGGTAATAGTTATCTCCCTAAAAGAATTCCAAATTTCAATTGTGACTCAAGTTATAGTCAAATGTAGTTAGAATTTCTTGGCAATGCTAAATACTTCCTACTGCTGCAGCTTGGATGGGTGTCTATTGTAAAACAACTCTAATTCCATTTATATCATTTCACTTATATTTGGACCATAAGATCAACAATTCAAACTATGGCGGTCACACATATCATCAAGGCACTATTTGCAGTAATTATGAGAGTTCTCTGATCTTATTCGAGATAATTCACTCTTTTTTAATGAGACTCACTATCATTTTTCTTCTACGTACTCGTAATTATTCTATCCTCAATCCTGAACCCTTGTCAACGTTTTATTTGCAGTATGTCAAAGAATTGGATGATTTGAGAGTCCAACTTTCAAATACTCGAGCAATTGCAGATGCATCTGCACAGTCCGCTCAATCAGCACATTTGCAATGTTCGGCACTGGCGAAAGAATTAGAGGAGAAAAACTGCTCAATCAAAGAGCACGAGGTTCGTGTGAATAAAATGGCAGAGCAACTGGACCTTCTGCAGAAGGACCTTCGAGCCCGTGAATTTTCCCAAATGCAGCTAAAAGACGAAGTCTCTAGAATCGAACATGAGATCATGCAGTCACTAGCAAAGGCAGGTGCAAACAAAGATTGCGAGCTCCGCAAGATTTTAGATGAGGTGTCACCCAAGAATTTCGAAAATATGAATAGGCTTTTAACGGTAAAAGATGAAGAAATAGCTAAGCTGAGGGACGAGATTAGGATCATGTCCACCCACTGGAAGCTCAAAACTAAAGAGCTGGAATCTCAGGTTTTGATTCCATAGAAATAATATGCGTATTACTTGTTGTAAATATCCAAATAGGCAAATAGTCCTAAGAAATGAACCGTGTGTGTGTGTGCCAGCTGGAGAAGCAGCGTAGGGTGGATCAAGAGCTGAAGAAGAAAGTTTTGAAGTTGGAGTTTTGTCTGCAAGAAGCACGAGCCCAGACTCGTAAACTCCAAAGAGTAATGTTCTTTCTAAATGTCTTTATGTATAACACGAATGTGTGTGAATATGTAAATGAGTTTGTATGTGTATTTTGTGCAGATGGGAGAGCGTAGAGACAAAGCTCTGAAAGAGCTAAGAGATCAATTGGCTGGCAAACAGCAAGTCGAGCCTCGTGTGTGCGAGAACAGCGATAAACAGAACTTTTGGGATGCATCAGGTTTTAAGGTTGTGATTTCAGTATCAATGCTGATCTTGGTCATGTTCTCCAAGCGTTGATGATATGTAGACTATTTGTTGCATAATTATTGTATATTTAAGATTAAAGATGGGGAGTAGATTTATGGGAGTTCTGTTTGTAGACTGTATTTCGTAATTGTAGGGTTATTGATAACTTGTAGTGGTACCTAGTGGATTTTTTATGATCATTGTTGCAATGAAAGCATAGAAAAATCCTAAATGAACTATTAATGCTATAATGTTGATTGGAATTTGGAATTGAAAGTAGCTGTGGTGGTAGGCAGATAGTAACTACGCATGGCCCCGATTCATATTATGAGATGGAGAAGAGAAGAGGTAGTTGGAAATGTAACACAGAAAATGGAAAATTTGGCTAAATTTATTTACTTGATAATTGCATTGCAGTCTCACAGTTAGAATCTGGAACATTAGCCACTGCCTCAGAAAGCTAATTTATAGTTATGGAATATATCACCATTCTGCCTCTCCTAACTATTATGAGTTATCCAACTGACAGAGGATTTCAACAACACTAGTGGCATGTAGAAAGAATAGACACACCTCCAAAAAGCCAACAGAGCTTGTTTGATTGTGTTTAGATATCGAAAACTGGAAGCCTAATGAGGAAAAGATTAATAATGCAGGCGAGAAATAGGTGGTGGTGGTGGAGTCCGGTGAAGATGGAAAGTGAAGAGCTGTCGTCAGTCATTGGGCTGTCACCTAAACCTCCCAAAGAAGGGTTGGTGCCATTTAAGATGGTCGGTGGAGTAGCCAACCTGCATAAATATAATATAATTGAAAAGAATTGAGAGGAAAAGAAAAATAAACCGAGAGGATTTCTTGATTCTTTTACCCGGGTAAATATGGTGGTGGAAATTGCGTTGTAGAAGGTGTAGTAGTTGGTGATGACGATGTGGGATAATTGCAAGAACCGGTGCCTGTGTAAGTGTATGTCACAGATAAATACCAAATCAGAATGCATATCTAATTAATTA